AGCTTTTTTAGTTTGAGCCTCGCAAATTTTAACTCTGCGAGCTTTTGAGCCATTTTTGGGAGAGCTTAATTCTGCAGAGAGTTAATTTTTGAGCTTTTTTAGTTTGAGCAACGCAATTTTTAACGCTGCGAGCTTTTGAGCCATTTTTTGGGAGAGCATCAATTCCTAGAGAGTAACATTTTAAGCTTTTTTAGTTTGAGCCTCGCAAATTTTAACTCTGCGAGCTTTTGAGCCATTTTTGGGAGAGCTTAATTCTGCAGAGAGTTAATTTTTGAGCTTTTTTAGTTTGAGCCACGCAAAATTAAACTCTGCGAGCTTTTGAGCCATTTTTGGGAGGGATTAATACCAAAAAACCGATATTTTCATGCTTTCGACCTTTTAGCTATTTCTGTGGGTTGTAAAAGATTTATGGATTGGAAGCCTGCGAACCTTTTTAAGGTGATCGCCGTGGCATGCAAGCTTAAGAGCTTTTCATGGTTTTTGCGGCCACTCAGGAATCTGTAAATACGAATGCTGTGAGGCCCATTTAGATTGGCTGTCATCATTGATTTAAATCACCTGTAACAGCCGCGAGCAACATCTGGAATCTTCTTGTGAAACCCCCTGAGACCCTCACGACAGGCCCCCGGAAACGGAGTAACAAAACCCCACGAGAGACGCCCCGAATCGATCTAAAAAACCTCACGAACCGTTCCGTGCGACGTCCGGAGTCGGAATGAGAGAAGCCGTGAGAGACCAATGAATTTATATCGAAATAGTACCGGCGTTTTCCGCTAGGTGGTACCAGAAGATGGATTACCTCTGTCCTACTCTCTTGCATATACTTTTTCTTGTCTGTCCAAGTGCTAGGTTATTGCGCCACCTATGTGGAAGGCACTGAAACTTCTAGCCAAATAGTCGCAGTCCGTCTCCGCTAGGTGGTACCACTAGTCGTGACAAGGAAAGACAAGGTATTATTTATGGGAGAGAGAAGGACAAACGTAGTTGATCCGCTGCGCCACCTAGTGGAATGAAGCTTGTATTATTTGGCGAGGAGTTTCAGCTATCCGGTCATAGGTGGCGCTATCAGTACCCAGAAGGTTAGACGAGGATGGATATGTTGTCTCCACCTGGCGGATACAAGCTGATACAATTTGTCGAGAAGTTTCAGCCATATGTTCATAGGTGGCGCTAACAATCTTCGCTACCAGTCTCCATCTGGCGGAGATAAGCTGATACTATTTGGCTAGAAGTTTCAGCGTTCTCTTTGTAGGTGTCGCGCCAAGATGCTATCTCCGTCCTTCTCGCACCCATGGATCTTTCCTTGTTTTCCATATGGGTTTTCAGGAAATACCTTCATAACCTTGACCGCTAGATGGCGAAGCTGTCGCTGCCTACTAAAATTCTCTGTCCTTGTCTTATCCATTACGAAGATGTGGAAAACGTTTGGCGGGTAAGGATAACCGGGTTTTGATAATGGATCGTTGAAGATGTAAAATCGTTTGTTAAAAGTTATGGCTAACCGAAAAAGTTCAAACAGACGATCTTCCAAGTATAGTAAAGGCAGTGTTGGTTCCGACGTGTTAGATCCGAATACGGATATTTTGGGTGATGGTACGTACAGTTGGTGTATAATTATAGAGGTTAGGTATCTAATATTTTGAATTGTTACAATATTTATGTATATATATTTCAGAACAACCGTATTGGTGGAGAAATTTGGAAAATAATACAATAGCACGACCGTCTACAGATTCGACAGTTTATAATCAGACGAGTAGACGTTTGAATTCTGATTCGTCTATAAGAACCAGCAAAGTGGACGATGGCTGGTGGAAGATATTGGAAGGAACAACGCGTACTTCTAAATCCCTCTCAAAGAATAAAGATCAATTGAAAAATGGTACAACAGCTATGTCTATATTTACAATTTACTTGTTAGACGTCGAGGCTATAAAAATAATTCAAGGCAGTCGCTTCTATATAACGTTAATTAAGTTGTACGATTCGTTTCACTGATTTACTAATTGTTTTATGTTTCTTTCCTGCTTCCTGTGAATGTTCTGTTTATATCACTGTTTTATAAGGTTTTTCTTTCAAATAATAATAATGTCATTATCTTTATGGAACTTTAATCTGTCGTTAGATGCGGACAATCGTGTAACAACAATGTCAGAATCGGACGAGGAAACGATAATTGCGAAAAGGAAACCTCAACTACAGACCAAAGCTAGGAAGACTCAAACCAACGCATTCTTGAATGCTTTGAACGACTCCAAGGATGAAACTTTACCGAAATCCAACTCTGCAATTCGGAGGAATACTTCTTCACGCGAATCTGCGTCAGTAAATCACATGCCCAGCGATGCTAAACATTCGAACAAAAGCAAGGAATTAAATTTAAGTTCGAGTTACAGTTCGAGCGATATCGTGAAGACGAAGCCTAAAATATTTCGAAACAGACAGAGAACCGGTAACGAAAACGCGTTCGGCGATGTATTAAAAGAGAACAAGGAAAAGACACTGTCAACAAGGAAATCAATAAGAATATCGTCGGTGGACGCGACAGGACCATCGTCCGAGACGAAACTTCCGGTCGCAGCCAACTCGCCTGTGATTGCGCCAGGAGATGCGAGTAAATTACCCTTGCTATCGGAGAACGATCCGGATCTCTCAAACATCTCGATACCAAAAGCCTCGAGCACGCAGCTCGGGACCAGTGCTTTCTCTCAACAAGACAGCACGAAGGACAGTAACAACAGCGACACGGAGCACATCGTACTGAAGCCCAAGTCGAAACTGTTGAAGCGTCGCGGTAGACTCACGGAGCAAAATGCTTTCGAAAAAGTCATCGACGAAGAGACGTCTGACCGAGACAAAGAAGATCACGACGCTCGCGAATCAGCAAAAAAGGAGGCTACGCTACTTCCGGAAGAGGACAAGCCTGTCGACGCGAAAGTAACCAGCAACGCAGCCAAGAACGACTTGGACACATCCAGCGACACATCGGACACGAGTTCCAGCTTTCGCCGACCCTCGAGGTTGAAGTCCAAGTTCTTGAACAGACCACGAAGGAGTCCGAGGAAGAATCCTTTCCAGAGGATTCTCGAAACGAGCGAAGACTCTACTGCGGATCTCTCCAAGAACTCTAGAAAGAGCAACCTGACGATAGAGAATGTGAAGAATGCACAGGCGCAGAACAGACGCAGCAGTAGTGGCTTGGGTTCCCAGGAAGCGCGCTCGAGAAGCTCAAGGATCTCGGAAGTGAGCGATGTCGAGATAATAGGAAACATTCCCGATCAAACTTCGCGTTCTTCCAAAGATGAAGGTTCAAAGTATGGAAGCGTCAAAGATACCAGTGTAAGAGATCCTGTCTCCACGGTGGAAGGTTCCAATGTCAGCGTCCATCGGAGAAGCGTTCCACCGAGTCAAGATGGAGCTGGATCGAAGGGAGACGATAGAAGTACATCGCGTGGAACGCGTGCATTACTGACTGACCACGAGGAAGAAGATGGCGCGGTCGTTCCACAAACACCAGCTAAATCGGCAGCGACTGATTCCCCGCTGACACGCGCGAAGGATGTTTCGAAGAGGCTGAGCGGAGAACCGAACGATGCACCGAATCCAGTAGAAACTTCGATACCGAGGCAAGCCAGGAACTCGAGAGGATTGCGCGAGAGACAGTCGACGAACGAAGGGAACGTAGAGGACGTCCAGAATAAGAGTTCGATCAGATCCGGAAGTAAAGCGACGTCGTCCGCGGTCGAATTGGATGATACAGATGACGTCGCGACGACCGCAGAACACAAGCGCCTCGACGGATCTCAAAAGCGACCGATGTCGACGGACGTTTCGTCCACTCCGCGGAGGAGAACCAGACGTTTGACCGACTCACGGACGCAGTTGACTCCGACGACTTCAAACAAAGAGGCAGCGGAGCGAGACGAGACCGGTCCAAGACGAAGCCGGAGTTTCGAGAAGCTTCAGAGGAAATCGTCGCTGCGCGTCGACGGTATCGAGAAGACTGAGGAATCGGTTCGAACTCCTTCGAAGAGGCAGAGCAAAGGTCAGGCACGAGAGGCAGGTGCAGCTGGCGAAGCAGAGAGTCCCACGCGGAGACGAAGCAACAGGTTCAGCGAGGTTGAGAAACAATCTACGTCGCGCGTCGCTGACGAAATGGAAAGAGGTCAAACGCCGAAGGGACGAGGCAGAAGTAGCAGTCGAACTGAGAAGCAAACGGCTCTAAATGCTTCCAACAAGGAGCTGAAGGAGATCGAGGACGCCTCGCCGAGACGGAGCAAGAGG